TTTTATTTTATTAATGGAAACATCATAAATCCCGGGTGTGGTAGGATCTAAGCTACTTTTCGTGACCGTTTGTCCTAATTTTTGCTAATTTTTAAATATATTTATAAAGTTATTCGCCAACACTTTTCTCGTTAACATAGTTCTCGCAAAACAGCTTTTGTTTAATGTCGCATAGTTCTGAACTCACAACCTTCTTCCCCTTCACAGACTTTGTTTCTTCGGCCTGCTTGGATGAAGCTCTCGGAGGGGAGTAGAACATGACGTATCTTGTGCCCAACAGTGTCTGTCTTGCCTATGGCGTGATTTTTTTCTGCACTTCTCTGCTTCACAATATATTCCTTGTTTATCATGTCCAAGCCTTTGTTTCGGGTTTTGGACTATCAAAGCTCTCCTTCTGGTCAGCGGAACTCGTTTTCCTCGTCTGGAATAGCATAAATGACCCTCTCTTCGGTTGGCTGCTGGATAAAAATCTCCTTCACGAGCCGGATGCAAGCAGTGGCGCGTCACACATGACAGCTCGCCGACGATCCCGCATGATAAGCATTGTCGGTCCTATTCAGGCTATCACATTTCTCATGTTCTGGTTTTCCTGCTGGTTACCGGACTATCCCGGATGCCGGTTTGCCATCGTACTCTGTCTGTATGATACTGCAACAACCCTCTTGGACCTTCAAAAGGGCGCTTTATTGGCTGACCTCGCAATCACTCAGGCAGACAGATCTCTTCTCGGTAGTGCGGCCTCCATTGGCCAGATGTTGTCTGCTAGTGGACTTGTTCTCATTACCTGGTGGATGGGGTCTCTGGAGGACATAGATACGTTGTCCAACAACAATCGTCACGAACTTTCCCACAACTTCCGACTCCTAGCTTTCCTTCTGGCTTCGTTCTCTGCTTCCGGCCTTTGGTTGGCTGGTCGCTGGTTGTCAAGTATGCCGAATTTGACATCAGGTCTCCAGTCTTCCGACTCTAGCAGGTAATCTGTCACTTGGGCTTCACATTTTTGCCGCATTTCAGTTTATTCCAGAGCCTAGTAGCTAAATAGCCACCTGTTATGTTTAATTCTTGTCAATAATTACTACCATCATTTGCTTTTCGCCCATTAATGTCATGTTATTTGTCGTTTTTATGACTGAATCCTGAAGAAATGGAAACAGCTGCGAACTGAAGGTTGTGCTGCACAAGCCTGTCGCTGAACACACTGACGATTCTCAGCCATCCCATTTCAAGCCCTCGAGCAGCACACCAAATATTATATCTTTCTTTGGGAAAATTTTACAGAGCCAGAATTTTCTCGCTTTTTCCTTAATGCAGGCTCTGCAAGTGAGTAGGGGAACCTTTTCGGATTTTCTTATTGTCCAACACTAGCCTCATTTTGATGGTCCAGTACATTTTTGTTTCATTTTGTGCACGGCGAGGAAATATGATAACTTTTTTGTTAGCGACTCTTCCCTCAGCTTGATAAAATAGGACGCTAACACTGTGCCGTATATAAAAAGGTTAACTTAATGTTGGAAAATTTTAAACTCGCTTGCTCCCACTGGTTCTTTTTTCGATAAAATTTAAAGAGTATGAGACTTCAAATAATAACCAGTTTTTTGATGTCCGTGCAAGTCGAAAAGTTCCGATAGCTTCCACATTAAATAACTTTCATGACTGATATTCAAGCAGGCGATATTTTTTGGGAAAATAATTTTAGGTGACTCCTGAAAGGTAGGAAGTAATTGTCTTTCTAGCACTGTACACAACACCTTGGCCGCTTTGTGTTATGCTTTTGACGTGAAATATATATTTTTGGATCCGTGTCGAGTAATTTGAATGATTGTCATTGGTCGTTTTGAGAGCACCACTACTGCTACGAAGAGGCCATAAGATAGATATATGTTCATTAATTATGGTGCTTAGTGGGGTATTCCAGTCAGCCGTTATTTTTCGGATGAAATATGTTGAGTGGTAAGTGCGCTCTGAGACATGGTTCAAGACATATTTATCCAAACCTATACTTTTATGTTTTTTTCCATTAAGTTAATTTTATACTTACATGCCATGCCTCTATGCCTCTGATCGCACGTTTAGGGGCTCATGTTCATTTTTATTACCAATAAAGGGAATAGAAGTCACTTAGAACCGCACAATAACGCGTAAGTGCAGAGAGACTGATACGTCACAACTCTTCTCAGTCTATACTTTATATCACTTTCTGGACACACATCCGAAATATACGCTAGCAAGTCAGTCCGAAGAAACGGGTTTACTGCATTCTTACGTGATCGTCACAAATATAAAAATGACAATTTCGGGGGTGACAGTCATAATTTCGTCCAGCTAACTCACTGGTCTATTTTTAGGAAGCAGTAACGAGGAACGAGTTTTATAGTTTCGGATGAATATGAACTCCCGACTGTAGTTTCTAACTTTCGATATATAGCTTGTAACAACTATCTACCGGATGTGCAAGTTTGTGGGCGTTCGGAATAAACAAACATACACATTTATGTGCTTTGATTCGCTGTCGGTCATTGTGAGTAACGGTCCGGATTCACTTTCCAGAACGTTTTTATATCACGTATGTTTCGTACCTGAGCGGGAAAAGTGATCGAAGTAAGTGAAAACGAAATTATCATTTATTTCAGCCAACTTTCAAAAGTCCGGCTCTATCGGTTGTATTTGAATCCAAACCAGCAAGGGTGAGGCTTAAGTACAGCCAGTGTTCTAACCAGCGGAGCAACGAGGCCACACAGGAAGCCATACATTCAATAAGGTTTTAGTTGATTTACCCACCTAGGCTACTGCAACGTATGGAATCCACCAATTTTGATAAAGTAAGCCGATTGATAAAGCAGAATCACCCAAGCAATCAGGCTAGAACCCAACGGATGATTGCCAGGCCCACTTTATTAATGGAGGGGTGAGGGTTCGGCAGATTTGAATAATTAATTGGCCCTAACTGTGAAAAAAGTGACGGCCTCGCTGGGAATCGAACCCACGCCAGCAAGGGGAAAGCCTTAGTTCAGCCAACGCTATAGTCAACTGAGCTACAAGGCCACCACTGAGAGCCATGAACTTAATCACACTTGGGTCGCTTTACTCACCCAACCTACCCAAGCCTTCTCCTCGCTGTCATGGGCCCGAGTTTCCTTGAGGCAATCGAATTTTCCACAATTGACCCAACTAAATAACTTAAGTCGGCCAAAACACCCATACGTTGCCCGCATATAACACTGTAAATAAATCTTCAAAACGGATTTTTGAGGAATACCTGGTTTTCGGATCATGATAGAACCATTTAGCTGTGTGTTTCGCATTGCCATTTTTAGGCTAACCTTACCAGTCTGTTTGAGCTTAGCGTCTCTTATTTAGGTTACTTGCTCCGAGTTATTTGGATGTCTAGAAAAAGAAGTCGTTGCGATCACTGGAATCGTAATTTTATTCATCTGAGCTTTCGGGCTCTTGCTGGAGTCCATCCTCAAAGTTAAACCGTCAACGAAAAGCGAGCAACAGTTATAGGGGACAGGAACTAATCAACTGTTATAGGGGTAGGGGGAGGAGGAGTGGGCGAGGGGTAGAGAAGGAGGGGGGGACTCATTAGTCACCAGTTTCGGTCGTGCGTATATGCCTGTCGAGAGCGATGTAGGCGGGTGCCAACTCAGTGCACCGGTTGACTGAGTTGTCATCCGAGGCCCAGGCTTCAGTTAGCTCTCGTGCGGTCTTGCTGTAGACGTGAGCAACTATCCC